TTTTTTTTTTTTTTTTTGTATAGATTGACATTGTAGAGAATGGTCTATTAGTTCATGGTAGATTGGCGCCTCCAGAAGTTCAGCCTCTACACCATAGATTAGTGGAACGTATGGTACAACTAAAACAAAGTGTAAAAACACCTCCAGCACCTGAAAGCATTATAAAGTATGTATATTTAAATTAAATTAAAATAATTAGATAATTGAAAAATATTAAAGAAAAATATTTCTTTAACTTAAAATTTTTTAGTTCTCCTCTACCACCAGTTCCTATTGAAAAAATTCAATCTCATAGATCCACTGATGAGTACACAAATACATTAAACTACTTTAGTGATCGTAAAGAAGAATATGAAGATATATATAGCAGGACATTTGATTTACCAGAAACTAAAGTACCAATTGTTCCAATTCGTGAATTTAGGCTCAAATCTGAAGGGACTTTAATTAATAATAGTAAAATCAAGTAAGGAGTAATTTTATTTATTATATATAGATATTAATTATTATTATATAAACACTTTGATTAATAATTATCATAGAGTTGATTCAAAAGTACCTTTACCTTCTAAATCAGAAAGTCCAAAGTTATTGAGAAATTCTTGTTCCATTGATACAAATAATATAAGAAATTCATGGTCAGGTGAAGACAATACTCCACCTCCACCTTTACCTCCAAGAGGTATGTTATTTAAAAATTAATGTTAATCAAAAAACTACCTACTATATTGACAGTGATTTTGTTCATACATATTTTAAATTTAATTCTTCCATAACACTGTTCATGGGGAAAAATCTCTTATGTGTAAAATATTGATTTTTCAAAAGGTACAAAAAAACTAATTTTGAACATTTTAAGCCTCAAATAATTTTACCATAGTAAAACTTCTAGTTCTTCAAGTTCTAACTTGAATTTAATTGTTTATTTTAATTATCACTTATTTAAGTTATCACATAGGTGTCTTTTTATATAAAAGATAATTTTTATCTGTAGTAATTTTAAAATCTTATTTTGTCAGTTTTACACATAGGAGTTAATTTTGCTTAATGATAATACGTACAATATTATATATTTTTGTTAATGTCTGTTTATTATCACAATACATGTTAAGAATAATTTGATAAACAAAATTTTTTTGTTATGACTTAATACATAAAAAAATGAGCTCAATTAGATATGTAAAATTACTGCTTAATTAATAAATATGTTATATTGGTTGTATAATTAATCAGTATTTTTTATTTAAAGCATTGGAAAAGAAAAATAATGATATTGCACCACCTTTGCCTAAAAGATTACCTTCCCGAAGAGTAAGTTAAATAAGTATTAAAATGTTTTATTCATAGTTTACATATCTATTATCCCATTTATATTTCAGGATTCTGAACTAATTGTCGACTTGGATGCATATATTCAGCGTGATTCTGGATATTCTGAATCTCTACATTCTATGTCTTATGAAGAATTTGTAATGCCCTCAATAGATGCCAATAAAACCCCACCCCCCCTTCCGCCCAAAAACATTCAGGTTTTACCAACTTCTGAGTCCAGTGGTACATAAAAATAAAATCTATAACTTACATACTATGTATTATATTATAATAAATATATATTCATTTTTAGAATTTCCAAATTTAGAAAACTACTCTGTGCCTGGAATAACATCTAGACGTTTGGAATCAAACCCCTAGTCAAATATAAGACTCCTATAGAATATGTGCCATATAACGAAAATTGAATGCATTTTATAACAATTTTACAATAGTTAATTTTAAATTATTTTTGTATGTTATTTTTTTAAAGTGATATTGGTGAGTTATATTTATTGACATAATTAATTCTCTATTATTATGATCCAATACTATGTATTATATTAAGTGTGTACTTGCCCCAAGACCTTTCATTACTCAACATGCCATCTTAATTATAATAATGACATACTTAATTATTGAGTTTACATTTTATCAAAAATTTATTATTTAATTTTATTGTTGTTACTTTATTTTTTTAGAAGATTGATAAAACTATCCTAATTTAATTATTTAATTATTTAATTTTATAATTTATTTATTAATTTATATTAAAAATTACTTTTTATTAATAATTAGTATTTAATTATTCTAATTATTAAAAAAAATTGGCATATTTGGCATAAGTATTATCAAAAATCAATAGTTTGGTTTCTTCTTCTTCTTCTTCTTATTATTATTATTATTATTATTATTATAACTATTCCCCTAGATAGATAAAATAATTGTGTTTGATACAATCATATGTTTAAAAAATAGAGACAATATATTTGCTAAATCTAACTCCATCTTTAAAAATAAATAATTTTTCATGAGTAAATAATAATAATCTATTTATTTTATTAATTTATTTTATAAGGAATACCTTTTTTTATATAATTTTGATTAAATGACTAATTTTTTAGTATTTTAAAACAATTTTTTAATTTTACTTTATTATTTTAATACTGCTCCTATTTGATGACTTATGTTACCAAACTGTATACTAAAAGAGTGTGACTGTTTTTCTTCCATTTTGTATGCTAATTAGATTTCATACGCAATAGTTATTGCGTGTTATTATTTATATAATTAATTATTGGTATATTGTGTTTGTGTGAATATGTTTTTGTATTATTATAATTTTTTCTATTGTATAATTATTTTATTGTAACATTCCAGTCTTCCATGACTACTATTCAATAAATCATTATTATGTATTCCTGTGTAATTTTACTTATGAAATTTACACCATAATTATAAGTCTTAAAGTACAATTCATGAATTTTACATTTAGCAAACAAAATTAAAAATAATAATTTCAAAAATTTTAGTGTATTTTAATTTTTAAGTAACTAAATTTTGTAAATTTAAATATGTAAGACTATACTAGTCTTACATATTAGTAATAGTCTAGTATACCATTACATAGTACTTCATTAATTATCAAGATTAAAAAAAATATTTCACCAAAAAAACGTGGTCATATGCTGATGCACAACAGCAGTGCCATGACCATTATATGTGTGTATTCCATCCTTGTCTAGGGGAGTGCTAACCGTCTCTCCTTTTATACGACACAAATAAAATGGGGAGAATTGTTAATACATATACTTGGCATAGTACGAATTTGAACACATGTGAGAAGTTGTATGAAATATCTAAAACCTGCTATCTGTTTGATAATAATGTAACTACATGCCAACTATATAAATATCATATATAGTATAGTCCACTAGTAATAGATAGCACTATGTATTACAAAATATTACATAGCTCTTTTAAATAGATTTATCAGCTAGTAACAAATAAAATTTGTTATAAATAACATCAAATATATTGTACCATAATCGATATTCAATTATAAATTATAATTATAACACAATAAACATTTCTCAATACGTTCGATAAAATGAGGTATAGTTATTTATAAACATTCATTAAGGATTTATCAAGATTATTAGATAAATTATCTAATAAACTTTATGAGTTTTACTATATTTTTTATTAAAATTATTATCTTGGACAAATTGGGTTGAATAAATGATATAACGAGATAAGTTTGATTGACCCATATTAGTAAAAAAATAGTTGATATTAAGACTTAACCCCTTTTTACAAGCATTTACATTTTTATCGATGTTATTTTTTATTTAATTTATTGGTTTAAGGTAATTGGTATAAAAATCCTATGAAAATTGGTTAGAAACAAAATAAAGTTTAAGTAAATGCAAGTATAAAATGTATGTATTTCTATATTTTGCTAAAATTTACACTATAATGTCAATTTGCTCATAAAATATCTATTGTTATTTTTTTTAAAGCAAATAATCCAAAACGTAAAGTTTAATAAAAGTTAATCAGCATTTGTTTATAGTTATTAAAAAAATAAAATGTCTATAAAACTTACTACTTCACGAAATATTGAGGTATTTAATTAGAAAATTATTAATTACAGATAATTTTAATGCATAAAAGTGTAATAAAAAATTGATTTAAGTATTAAGTATTATTACATTTTAATTGAATCAAGTTCTATATTATTTTTTGTTTATTTATTATTGAACAATTAGTAATTTATACATTTAAGAAAAAAATGTTTTATGTATTGATGAATCATATAATACTTCAGTTATTTGTATTGTTTTTAAATGAAGCTATAAATAATTTTTAGGCTCCTTTGGTTAACTGTGACAAATTTCTATTATGTTTCAACCTTTTTAATAATTTTAAATATTAGATATTTAATATTTAAATATTAAGTATTGAGGTATTCCACAAAAATAGCTTAATATATTCTTTTATTGCTTTCATATGATTAGGAATAAGCAGAGTTTACTTTAAGTATTTCAACTATTTGTCCTAACTTTATATGGGTAATGTAATTAGAGCTCATAACAATAACTTCACTTTATTTAATCTCCTTAATTGTATTACACTAAAATTTAATTTTACACATTTAATTAAAGGCAAGATCACAAATCCAAAAAAAAAAACCTTATTTAATATCATATTATTAAAATATATTCTTGAAGAAAAACAAAACATCAATACTAAATAATTTTCTGCTTATATATTTCTTTAATTTTAATCTAAATATTAAATTAGAGCTACAATTGATATTTTAATTTTCTATATTTTCCCTGTACTATTAAATATTTTACAAACATTTTAAATTGACTAACTTTGGCATAATAGATACAAGTTAAATAAGTATTAATAGTTGATTTATATTGCACAGGAAAAAAATGTAGATTTTAAAAGTTGGTCTAAAAAAATAATAATTTTACAATAATAATCATAGCCAAAAATAATGTTATACATCTAGTGTGTATATATATATATTTATTTATCATAATCAAAAATAGTTAAATATTACAAAATCAAAATAGTTTTAAAACTCAAATTTACACTGGAAAAAAAATAAGTTGTTTTCAATTGTAGTTTTTCCAATAAATAAAACAAAAACGAAAAACATAATAAAATGTACAAAATCAATGAACACTTTTGTTTATATCGTTTTTTGTTCTCAACTACTGAGTATAATAGTTTTTGCAGTGATAATAATGAATCAGTCTGTTTTGGTCATTCTAGCGCGTAGTTTAGCGTGGACTTGTAAAAATTCAGGTTTGTCCTCATCTTTATCTTTCACATCTATCTTCTCCATTTGCTAAAAGCAAGAATTAGTAGTATTATAGTAAAAAGTAATCTAAATTTAATGTTTGTAATCTTATATTATTTATGAAATTCATCCTTAATTAGATAAACGTTAAAAAAATAGAATTGTTCAAAATATCTACTATCAAAAAAAAAGTAAAAATCTTGACTATTTTAATACAGAAAAATGTGAAATATTTAATCTCAAGTTAGCTTCATTATGAATTTCTCAACCGGTTTCCGCTGTCATTTGAATTAATATTCTCGAATATTATCTCTTTTTATAAATAATATTTATTTATTTATAAGAATGATAACATACGTATTATTACTATAAATAATACATATTTTATATGTATCATTAATATCGGATTCCAATTTATTATTAGAACCGGTTAAAAGAATCGTACATCTTTTTTTTTTTTATTATACATTCTGCATTTATTATTTTACATTTTATATTAAATAAAATATGCGATACGTTCGAACGGATAAGACGAAAGTCGTATTGCAACATTGCTGAACGCCTACGCTTTCGATTCGTTTCACTTCAACAAACCTCAAGCATTACTTATAGGGTAAGCATTGAGCAGTAGAATGATATATCAAAATGTTTGTGCATTTGGTGTTTGTATACGACTTGGTTTCTCTGCGATTTTTTAACTCGCACGTAAACGATTAGGCAGCATAACGATCCGCAATGTAAACACGACCGAGTGAACTGTATCGACAGTATGAGTAAATCATAATTATTTTTACGTTTTTTCTAGAATTATAGTTGAAGTAAATTACTCTAGTAAAACTAAAATTAAAAAAACATAATGTAGGCATAAGTATAATCCACTAGCAACTGTGCTATTCGAATAATCTTGTGCTACTAAGATTATTGAATATAAATTTTTTTTTTTAATACTCTGGTAATAATTTCAGTAAATTATGTTTACTTATATTACTTAATTCAACGAATCTAAGGGTAGACAATTTGTTTAAGACATTTTTTCAAGTACTCACATTATTATTATAACAAAAACACTAATGTATAATTTACTTTTTTAATCCATCCGTTATACCTTACAAAGGTATTAATATTATTTTTTTAAATGGTAACATATTTTTAATTGGCCTATAAAATAGGAAATGTTCATCTTAATTAGATATTAAGGAAATGGTCAATATCGACTTTTGGACCAGTACTTCAAAAGTTATTAATTTTTTTATACCAAGACACAAGGGGAGGTGCAGCTGAGAAATGTCTAATAGTAAATATTCTCATACTCAAGCCTCACCACCAGTCTAAACTTTGAAATGTTAATAACTCCTTCAAAATTTGTTATTGACCTGTCATTTTTTTAATTAGACAATTTTTTATTTTATAAGCTAGTTAAATATGTATATTGCTATTTAAAATATAAAGTTTGTACCCTTATAAGGTATAAGGGATGAAATAAATAAAATAATTAACTGTTAAATCAAAAAATACATGACACTAAAAAATACATAATTATTATTTTAAGAGAAGTCCAGTGATTAGCGTTAAAATAATTTCCGTGTTTTATTATTAGGTACCGTTTCGATTTTCTTTGCTCGTTCTTCAATCATCCGTTCAAATGGTGTGCGGCAAGAATTTTTTTGCTGTTCCAATTCTTTTTGAGTCTGAGCACGCTTGTGTTTTTCTAAAGCTTTTTGTAGCTCGGACTTTTGGCCCAGCACGCTCTTACCGCTAAAAGAATAAAGAAAATTCTTTCAAATAATGACTGAAACAATGAAGACTGCCAAACAGCAATATCTGAATTTAAATTTAACTCTTGTCAACAATGAACTCATAAAAGATACTCACATTTTTTGGTTGAATAACAGTTCACGGTGAAGGTTTTGATGGTCGGCGGAGGTCAGACACGGGTTGACTGGCTTCCGCGGTAAGATTAATCCGTCTTGGTGCATGTCTCTGGTGCAATCGGCGGTCGCCATTGTTGTTCCTACAAATAATTAAAATGCAACTTAGTTACAGCTGAATATGATTTTTACTTGTATATTTCTTAATACGTGAGTTTCCTAAATGAATTTAAGAAATGTTAGCAAGTGGACTAATAGTAAAAACTAACTAATTTATGGCAAGTTAAGATGAAATATTTTTTTTATTTACATATTAGTTTAATAAATCAATACTGAATTTAAACAGTGATTGTTTTTTTAAGGTTTCTTTTGGAAAATTTTTATGATCACAAGTTCACTTTGAGTAAGTTATTATTTTTAAAAATATTAATTAATTTTTAATTATTTATTTTATTGATACTTCTAATTATTAAAATTATTATAGAGTTATTATATTTTACTTGTGTTACTATTTACATTAGATGAAATAGTTAATTTATAAAGAATAAATAATAATAGACCCTGTGAACAAGTTTATACATTTGTTTAGAACTAGAATGTGTTAGGATCCTCAAATAACGCTTGTAATACTATACTAAATTAAAATATGATTATTTAATTTAAACTTCAAAAAAACCATAGACATTGGTTCCATTACCCTTAAGATTATCTATATTAATTAACATGTAATGTACATGTTAAATGTAATGCGGGTCTTCGAATGACTACTATGCAGATTTTGACATCCCCTTGTGCCGAGTATTAAGTTATTACAACTATAAGCTTTCACACAGCACTTCTTAGTGTACAATATAAGTATCAACTCATCGGGTTATTAGCAAAAACTCAAGATCACTTGACAATTTTAACCGTCGTGAATATATAAAAGATTTCTTGCTTAAGATAAGTACTGAACCAAAATCTTTTGTTCGAAAAATCTTAAAAATTCTTATTCAAAAGTATACGTTAGTATATTCACAGTTACATCATACACAGCATTTTTAGTACATTTAACAAGATCAATTAAAAAAAAATCTTGATGGGAAATGTCTTTAACGGCAAATCTTAATCTAACTCAGTAGCCCGTTTTGAGATAAAATATTCAAAAGTTCAGAGTTTAACATTCAAGAGCTGAGAACTTACATTTTAAAACGTTTCGGTTGAAATGAAAACAATTTTTCTGTTCCAAAATATACCATTATTTTCAATAACTCATAATTTAGTGTTTAAAATACAATTAAAATTTTTTTCATGGACAAAACAAGAGAATAGTCATTTTTCAAAAGCTATTAGACATCGTGTTTTTTAGATGCCCATAAAACATTTTAGTTGTAAGAAAAATAATATTTTCTTACTCTTAAAGTATTAACGATTGTTAAAATTCTTTGAAACCTCATAACGTTAATAAAAGTCTTCAATACATGATTTTTTGCTAATAAATTTACCATAATCATCATATACTATTACATTACTTTGTTGCTTTTAAGTAATGCGCAGTAATGATATTGCATGACTGAAAAACAAATACAATGCTTACAAATACTATTATCATCAGAAAATATTTAATACTCATTAAGGCGTCATTTCGCTAATGCAAAAACTAAAATAAACATACACCCACATTAATGGCCATTGAATTCATTATAGACCAAGCAGAATACACCTATGATTAATAAGATATTAGAACATTTTTAGTAATTAATACAGTTGTAAACGCACGGGGCGCTTTTTTAATGTTAATATTTCTAGCTGCCTATACTTGGCGTTTTTATCGACCGTTCGTGCAATTATCATCATATTAAAACACCGTAGAGTAATAATAATTGTAATTCGCGTGCGACTAGGGCGAATTGAGACGATAATAATAATTATTATTAACAGAAAACGACTGCGAAATCATTAGGTTATTAAAACGTGGAGAAATACAGACGCCTTTATTATGTATGTTTAAAAATATTAAATGAATTTTTTTTCTTGTTTAGCTATAACTGTTTTACTAGTTATATTGATCGAGTAAACATTTTTTACCGTTGTCTGCTTATTAATGGGACTCCCCAATTTTTTACGGCAGCCGGCAAAATCAATATTTGTCGTTATTGTTAACCTTGAAAAACAATGTAATACCTTATTTAGAAATTTCAATGATAATAACAGGTTATAACACTAAGTCGGGACGTCGACTCGGCTATCAATACGCGATTGAGTATGTTTTAAATATTTTATGTAACTTTCAACGATCATCTCAGCACCTCAAGTAAAAGTAATATAAAAAAAAAAAACATAAAACTGTCTTTTCCTTGTTTTACCGCCCAATATTTATTTGAATAAACAAAGTAGCGTATCCTCCTCCATATTCTTCTTCGGTGTCTCATCAGCTGTTTGCACTTCATTAATATTTTATTGCTGATAAAAAGACGGTCCGCATAGTATTATATTTATAATATTTATCAGATGCTACGGTTCTATGAAAACGCTTTGAGGGTTTCAAAATAGAGTAGCCTATAGGTCGTTTTCTCTTTTCAACAAACACTGTCACTTAAGTGGCACAAGCTCGTTAATGTCGGCTGCTGGTTCTAAAGGAATTTTCGTGAACAATATCACTACATCACACCAATAACTATTGTGTACTATAGAACTACTTGTTGCTTTTAAAACAAGATGTATAAATATGTGTAGCTGAGAGTCACTTAAGGCAATGTTTATGTATATCGAATGCACTCGTAGTAAAACGGTGCGTTATGCGTTATTTTTTCCCTGGGCCCATCGCATCTACTCGCGTTCATGGTAGTAAAAAACTAGTTTAAATGGAAGGGAGTCGCGAATAACGTTTCCGGTTTAGTAGGCCGTCGCCACCGACTAGACTCGAATGGTTAACACAAAATATCATATAGTTAGAAATAATCATAAATAACGGTTTCTATAAAAATGAATTCTCATCAAAAGTTTTCGTTATTTAGTAGTTAATTTTGTGGTTATCCACAGGCTTTATTAATTTTGAGCTTGATATCTTTCATCGTCTGTAGTGTAACGACAAATAAAAATTTTAAGTAATTATTTGCGCTAAAAATAATTGTACAACCACAAAAGCTTTCTTATCTCTGTTGCTTTCAAAAGTGAACACTCGAAACAAAAATGTCCCATTCAAAGCACTGCGTTTTGATTACGCAGTTGTACATATTCTATGAAGAATTTTAATATGGAACAATATTCATTCAAAGTAAAAAAAAAACTAACTCTTAGTACAGACCAAACAACACGATGACAATTGTCACACGATTTGTTCTCAACTTGGCGCAATTGACAATCAATTAACGAACAATTTAAGCACGTCACCACATAATTCGAATTAAACAGTTCCTTTTCGGTGCGTTCCAGTCTCAAGTGGAAACTCGCAGACATTATACGGACGTCCCCAAGTGTTGTTTGCTGTACGCGGTCGGATAAATCGAATTACTATCGGCGACACGTCGACGCCCTCTTGAAATTTTTAACGTTCCCGGTCTCTATCAATCGGTACAACACGCAGACTAATAAACACACACTGCATTGGGAAATTCGTCTCGGACATTGTTTCAGGTCGGCTCGTATACGTGCCATTCTCACGGGTTGCCATTCAATTATACGTGCATTGTGTTTCGTACGCGGATCGGAGACGTCGGTTTCTTTTGTAAAAAACGTTTTGACTACTCACAACAGCTGCTGACACATGTCAGTCACGATCGCCCGAGTGACCTACAATCATATACCACCACTGTCCGATCATCTCCAGAGACACTGCGTTTTGTATTTAAATAAGGGCTGTCGTGTGACAAGTGTCAACTCGGTATATTCAGCAGCTCTAAGACGCGAGTTATAGATTATTAGGTTCACTTTGCAGTGGTCTGTCGGAAATTGAGTTCTATGATTTTAAGTCTAGAGCATCCAATACTATNCTATGATTTTAAGTCTAGAGCATTACTATTATATAATAGTATATGATACTATTATGCCAGATCGAGTGGATAAATATTTCAATTTTCAGAAATTGCTACAAAAAAAAAAAAATGAATGTGAATAATTTATAATATTCTAAATGGCGTTATCATGACGTGATAAAAGCTTGGGACAGCACATTTATTCCAAATTATCACGCCAGTGTCAGTCATAATAATAGTATCGTATGACGTTAAGTATTCTATTAGACGTAGTTGCTAAAAATAAATTCTAACTGGGCGTCACTGTTGAGGTTTAAAAACTGCTAACTCGACAAGACAATGTTGGATTGGAAATTAATCTATTGAACGAAAGAGCTTCAGTGACTAATAGATGATTTTTACTCTACTCCTTTGTGAATAGATTGTAAAAAAACGTTTGATTGAATTATAATTTATTTTATTATTATTTTTTTTTATAAAAATAATTCAACGTAACTAATGTTAACTAATACATAATACGTGCGTTCTTTCTTCGTATTTCTCAAAACGACAATAATTTAATAACGGGCAAATTAATTGCAGTTATTTTTTGAACGTATTACGCGCACGAGACAAAAGCAGTATAAGCATAGAGAAGTATAAATAAAAAATACAGTAATACGGAAGAGATAATTACAAAAATATAATATAACATCGTGATTTCCAATTAAAATTCGTCAAGATGGTTAATCATTTTTATGATTTATTTAACTTCGGCACATTAATAAGCCAACTAGTCGTTTAATGTGTTAATAATTATGCAACTAAATATTAATAATAGACGCGTATGACTATTTCCCCGTTACCATAATGGACATGTTATATTTTTAATAGCGTGTAATGTCTAAAATGAAAACAAAAGTGTTTTTTTTTTGTATTATTACTAAGTAATTTAAATTAGTCATGAAATCATGACTCAGAACACCCCTTAAATTTGTGCCTTTTAATATTTCACATTTTGTATTTTATTGGAGCTCGTGTTTAACATCAACGTAACTTTGGCCGAGCAAAAAATATGTGTCTAATACATGCGATCCATTCCAATTGCATTAATAAGTATGAGCCACGTGCAATTCAAGAGTTTCCCTCATAGTGCAATTCTCAAATATAGTACTTATATATATATATATATATATATATATATATAATACATTTCCAAATATATATCGAAAACTAAGGAAGTCTAATAATAATTTGATATAATTACAAAATGTGAAAGTAATCTGGATTGACAACAGTTATATTTCATATGTATTAAAAAATATACGTAATACGAGTCTTAAGTACACACACACACACGCGCGTGTAATACAAATAATGTATTAAATTACTTAGGCAAATCGAATATATTGGAACCAGTCTATTTTCAAAATGTTCGTAGTATAATCAAGGCACTTAAAATTGATTTGTCGAACTAAAACAAAACTTTCGTTAAAACAATTTTTACCTTCTACACGAAGCTATATTAAATATTTTACCGTGACGTGTTCATTTTTCTTTTACTACGCAAGAAATAATGAAATCAAATGTTATTTTACAATAACCTTTAATTTGTAAATTTCATTTTTATCGCGTTAACGATTATGTGCGTGAAAATCATGAAAATTATGAACCACTAAATGTGTATATTTGAATTGAAACAACCATAAATATTGATGTAAAACTTGTGAATTTTATAAATGTGCAATTGAAAACTAAATTACCCTCGAGTTGTGTTATGTGATTATATTTCTTTTGATCTGCTAGTTATTATAAATCTATTCAACCAAGCCGACACTGAATAGTAGTTACCGTTAATAAAATGTCGGGGATTCTTTTTTTTTTTTTAACAACTACAGTTTCAAATAGTTTTTTTCCAGATACTTCACACTTTTTTTCAACATAACTGTTGGCCCGGTTCGTTATTTTCTCCATGTAAGTACATTCTTTAGTTTTCCTATTAACGATTACGCCATTACGATATCATCACCAATATATTTTAGAAGTTTATCATGCTACGCTAGTACACGGCGGTTTAGAACTTGACCGAGAACTGGTTTCTAGTTGGATATACTATGTGTTCTCAGTGAATAATAACTTACGAATTCATTGTTTATCATTAATTTTTATCCACTGTAGCACACAAAAAATACTTATTAATGGATTAGATAATTTAATATTGATTTTGAAGCTAGTCTATTTAATAGGCGACGGAAGATACTCGATACGAGTTACATATACGACGTAGTGCGTTTGTAATACTATACAGTTCATTATTTAGTGAATTACTAAAATCATTTCGTAGAATTAATCGTTTTATCAACACCGTAAGTATTAGCTAAGCGCATTCGTTGTAAGCTCAACAGTTTAATACCACTCATCACACGTAATATTCAAGTGATATTTAAATTTTATTGCAATAATTAAGGTTTACGATAGGAAAAACTACACACCTGTGGCTATATAATTATAAACTACGAAGAAATATATCTATTGAATACGGTGAAACACGAGTGCCAACTATTGAATATTCCATAGAATATAGTTGTTTAATAATTGGTATTTTAATTTTTTATAACGCGATCGTTACATTAAGACTGAGAAAAATCCTTTTAAATGTGACTGACGTCGTTATTCTGGTAAATAAATGGAACGATTTGACATCCAAATAGGATAAAAGTTTAAAAGAATTTCTCATGCTATAGAAAACAGCATGTCGATTAAGAAAATAAAAAAATTCGCGACTAAAGTAAAATTTCATTGCTAAAACTCTTACCGTTTGTTTTTATATTCTGTTGGCGATCTTTCTGTCCATCTAGATTCTCGTTTCCAGTCTGTAAAAAAAGTAAAAATACCGTTAAAAATATATTTTAACGAGAAAATCCATGCAGACCATTGAATTTTCACTGGTTAAATCCATCAAGTACGAGTTTAATAAAAAAAGTTGTAAACCTTCAACTTAAAATAAAATAAATTTTGTAGATCGATAACTATTTAATTGTTAATTATTTCGTAAAGTCATCATTTATTGGTTAATTTTAATTAAAATTTATGCATTTTTTACAAACAGTTGACGACGAAACAAATCCACGGATGAATTATCAATTATCTCTACTATCATTATTACTATTATTGATGAAAGGTTATGAATGGCGGGTTCGGTGAAAATCAATCGGTGGAAATTTTATAATGATCAATGCGTGCGTAATAAAATAATTACAATACAACACTCCTTATGAATGTTCCAGTAGGTAATAGTATTTAAAACAAAAACTTATATTGCTTTAGGAGCTGAGAGAAATTTCAAAATGTTTAACCTTTCACTACACTACGAACAGATATTGCCGAAGAGGTAGTCATGATGATGGGAACGATCGAGGCAATAAGGAAGTGCGTTCAGTCATAATTATTAAAAATTAAAATCATTTGTACATTAATAGTAGTGATGGACACAATTAGGTGTTCAGAGCCGCAGGTTATGTATTGAGAATTAATCTTTAAAACGATTTCCTATACCATACTGCACAATAGAGTTGGATAGGTCACAAGACTTAATGAAGAACAATAACAGTGTATTACACGTACTATTCTAAACCTCTTAGCATAGTAGAAAATTACAAGGTGTGCACAATATTGCTTAATTTTTGAAAATCTATGTGACGCAAATTTTTACCAATATTGTTAATTGTCGATAATTATAAATAATATTGAAATTGTTGTCATGGTATACCTACAATAAAATAGTACTAAACATAAAGGTAAACACATAATTTGTAATTAATTTGTTCGCAATTATACGATTATACTCATATGCTAAGAAAAAAACAATTAAACGTGTGACAATTTTTAATATTATTGAAATTTTTTAACAATCATCAGACATTCTAATCGTTTTTTTTACATTATTATTTATTATTGCGAATGATAAGACATAGCGGGTCATTCGCCTGAGCTTGTTTAATATTAAAGAACATTGGTTTTGTAAATGTGATAAAAACCTTCAATAGGAATTCTAACAGTGTGATTGATCCTTCTGAGAATATTTCTAGATATAAATCCGGAAATAGACATTGAATGACGATGAAATGTGATTGTTTTGATCGGCGTCATCTCATTAGTTCACTGATTTATCAAAGTTAAAATAGTAATTTATATTTATAATATTTAAATTTCTTCAGATTTTATGTGTATGGAAGCCAATTCAAAAAGGAATTTTATGAATCGATATTTTTTACCGTTAATCTTAAACGAATAAATAATTGTTGAAATAAACGTTGTCCTACTACTTATTTATTATAATTGAAGATACAAGGGGGTCACGCTTATTTAATAGTTTTTCGCCTGTTAGACCATTTGAAAATTGTATGACGGGGAGAGATTTCAGTTCGATTTTTAACATTGTTTAAAACCTGTTTCGTTCAGATGATATCATCTCGTGTTTGATTCTTTATTGAAACTATACATAAGCGTCAAATGAGAGGGACGAGGAAGGGGTCAAAACCCTAGTTAGGCAGCCGTTGCCGGTAGCGATAAGTTTAATAACAAAAGCGTCAAGTCCAGTTAAAAAAAAAAAACAAAACATTTTAACCATATGTACCAATACAACTGAAACTACGAGAATAGGGGAGATTTTAAAACCGGATGCTGTAATTGTTTAATAATTCAAGCATTCAGCACAAATCATGATTAGATAATATTATCGCATGGGGAATGAATGGATGATGAACATGATGATGTCATTTTCTGGTTAGAGTATTCGTGATTTTGAATGTTAACAACAAATATTGTATCAAAATTGCACTGAAAGATCGCAGAAGTTATTCGACCCACACTAATAATCTTTTTTTATTACCGTTATAACTTTTGCAACACCAGTCACCTGTTATGTTCCTAATTATGAGCACAGTGTAATATTTTATAACATTATGCAAAAATTTTTTAAATATGTCATGATTTTCAGTACACACTATTTACATTCGCTGGTCGGTTCATATAATCATGACAATTGCGCGATGAATACAGTCAAGAGGCAAAGAAAATAGCATAACATATGATAGAAATATTAGAACAATGCTAAACGTGAGTTATACGGTTTGTGTTATCTGCACTATAGGAGTATAATTTATTATGAGTTTTTCAGTACAGTGTTTTGCCATTCATTGACTGTTACATGTGCTGTTGGAGAGATTTTTATATTTCTATTATTAGTGCACAACAGTAGATTTCAAGTAATAATCGAATGATTCATCTATGTATAAAAATCCATGAAAATTGCACACGAAATTCACAGAAATTACATTTTAGAAAAATATATTCATCATAAAAATAAAAATAATTACATTTATTTAATATTCTTGACATTTTTAATGATCTAGAAAAGAATTAGTAAGAGCTATGTAAATATAATACTATCGCGTACAGCAATGTTTAAAGATTTACCACTCGGGAAACTAACACATTTGTTTTACTATTAAAATAAGTAATTTCAACTGCATGAAATTTAACGATCAAAATGTTGACTACTGAAGTTGATATGTTTATTAATCTACGGGATTTATCTATTAATCGCGTCGGTCCTCTTTGACGACAAAGAAGTCAAAAGAAAAAAACATCGTGGGAGACGTCTGAAAAAATATTTTAACTGGTATACACTATTATAAGGCAATGAAACCGAAAACAATATTTTTATTATTTCCCACGTTAATGATTCGTGCGTTATTATGCAATTTTATTATCTTTCAAGGTTACATTTGTACTCTGCTTATTATTAATAACCAAGGCGGGCTTAGAATTATCATGTGTTTACATAGCATTCAGACCGTGTTAGAGCTGTGAAAAAATTTTATCGCCATACTTACAGCATACGACGCACTATTTGCAAAACGTTGAGTAATCAAAAGACAAGACACAATTAAGATTAAGAAACAATACAGCGAGAATATTAATAAATCAGTCGGTTTTACATTTTACACATATTGGTAATAATTTATTGAAAAAAGGTTATCATTAAACACTTTAGACATTTTCAATAGTTAAAGGACAATCCCTTTAAAGAATGTATTTAATTATACTTCTAGAGGGCATAATTGTTGAATATTTAAGTAAACAATCAAAAATATTAAAAACGGTTTTCAAAAGGTTAAATCGTAAGATAAGAAAATTCTAAAACATTAGATTCCCAGGCTTCGAAATAACCAAAATTTTTATAGTCATCGTTCATGAATAATTTACGTTTGTTTGTTTACAAGGCAACAAGTTGATTTTCGAGATCAATGGAGCGAGTTCTCCGATGATACCTATTACAGCGCTCACTTTTCTTGTCCGTATATCGACACGTCTGGTCGAGATGACCATCAAAATGTTGTTGTTGTTTTATAATTAAAGTAATTTTCTTTTCAGCCTCAGTCTATCTCATGGCCTGCAGCTAAACACCCTTCTCGATTTTATAACTAATGTAGTAGTCTCATGTTTAAAATATGGCAGTAAAATTGTATTTTTAGAAAAAAAAAAAATATGGGCAACATTAATACTTTGAATACTTACTGATGGAAATCCAGCCGTCACCTGCACAATATTCTCTGTATAATATATGATTTCGATATGATTTTTTTGTCAAATTATGTTCAAAGCACACAGGTGAAAACCGGTTTACTCGGCCGTAATAGAGAGACTTTTTAAATTCACGAATATTGTCGATGGGATAGGTAAAAACAATAGAAAAGTCTCTGTTTGTTTTGATAATCAAACGACGATTTTCGATCAAGTGTATACGTACGAAGTCAAATCAAAAAGCGAACTGACGGACAGCCGCACGTGAACGTAAGTAACAGACTGGCGGTACGTTGTAGACGGCTTACGAGCGTCACAATCAGAACGATCACTGTGCCATCTGCCGACGGTAGGCGTTCAGCAGCATTATTGCTGTGCCCGAGTTACCGAGTGGGGTGGCGTCACAAGCGACCTTGAAAGGGACGTCGTTTAGGAAATGCCACCATGCCTTCTCCTTAACCCCGCTGTTCTAAGTGTCCCTGTTCTTTGGTATGGTGTGTTATTATCTTAAATAGTATTTCGTTCCCACGCATCTTACAGGTGGGTGTGTGTGCCTTTGTATCGAGAAACGCAAAATCGTAACAATGTGCCCGCACGGGATAAGCCCCCGAGGGGATGGGTTTGGGAAAAAAGAAAATTTCTATTGTAATCGCAGGAAATCTGAGACGTTATATAAGTACTAGCTAACTAGGTACTAAATATCTCTTTTTTAATTAAATTAATAAGTTCTTTACGGTTTTACGAAGCGCAGTTCAACGACAGTCTTGTCAGTACATTATTTGTAAAATCATTACTAAACAATAAAATAACGTACTAAAGGTTATTGAATTTTTAGAGCCAAAAACACAAGTATTTTTTTGCACGAGTCATGGGATTCTCGAGATGATTTTCAAGAAACTTCTAATATTTATTTGTTTTCAACTGAAAATCATAGTTTTTAAACATAGTTGTATTGTTTATTATTTTATGCAAAATAAATTTATAAAAAAGTTTATTCATAACACAATTAACACATTCGTTCAGGATTCTATAATGGAGAGCATTGTAAAATAAAACTACAAAATTTCATAATTAGGACCTTTTTTTTGCTCATTTTAAAAATGAATAATGCTTTTAATGGACTCTCTTGGCTACGCCACTGAGGCCAATATTTTTGAAAACGAAATTTTTGATGTATTATTATAACAAATTGTATCAAAAACATTTTAAAGAAGGTATAAAAAAAATCTGACCTATTCGATATAAATTTTAAATTTTAATAGTACTATTCAAATCATATAATTTATAGATAAATGAATGCTTCAAATATTTTGTGAAAATATTGATCATATAATGTGAAACTGTTACAATCAAATGAGAAGGGGGAAGTTGTTACGAAATATTAATTACCCATAAAAAATTGCTTTTTTTTGTAAGTTAAATAAAATCGGTATAACTTACATTACTTAGATTGGAAAATTACCGAATTCTAGGGGTAATGTGTGTAAATAAATATGAAAATGCCTCACCTGAGATACTTTTTGAGGGAATAAAAAATTGGATAGGATGACATTTCATTTTTTATACTTAAAAAATTTTAATTTATAAGGATGTTATTATTATAATATTACATAATAAGAATTACTTTTCTTTGTCATTTTTTGAATAATATATAAGTTAAAAAATATACTGAAACAACTTGCCTCAATATTTATAATTTTATGATAGCTTAAAATCTAGGTATTAATATTAATTCAAAAAAATGTGGGCAACTGTTGCAAAGAAGTTATTAATAATAAAAATATAAAAATTATAACAACTATACCTATTTTCTTCTACTCTGGTTTTATACGATTTTCATTTAGTAGATTTTGTTGATTATTTTTAAATAATATTTAAACACAATCAAATGGAAGTTTAGGATACGGGAGGCCGACTCCAAGTAGTTGGGATTAAGGCGAGGAAAAAAGTAGAAGAAGATTTAAACACTATCACTGTTTTTTATTATTATTATTATTTAATTTATTTATGATTAAATATATTTAATTGCGGTTTCTATACATTTATAATTAATGAGAAATTATTTAACTCAAATTTTCAAATTATAACATCTTAATTCGAGACATTGAAGGACTATTTTAACTTTCAAAATGTGTATTTAAGAATTGATGTTATATTAGAGAAATATGATTGATTTATCTACTAGAAAAATTTTTTTTCCTGTAAATGTATATCTTATTAAAATACATACTCAATAAAGGATCTTTTATGTAAAGTAAGTCAGAAATCTTACCTAAAGATAAGTTTTTTCACCCAAAGATTAAAGCACCAAAACGGAAAAAAAATATTATACAACCAAATTTAAAAAATATTTCTAATGTCATTCTATTAATAGAATTTTTTTATTGGCAATTTTTTATCATTACAATTAAATTTATTGTTGAAAAACCAAAATTATTATGAAACCATAAAAATAATACGAAATTATTTTCACTTAATGAGGTGTGTTAATACAAAAATTTGGTTTTTAATAATTATCTAGTTTAAAATTTTAAATTACCATAACCGTCACCGAATGTTATACTTATTTAACAAATTACACATCAATTTAAAAATAATTTCATTCTACATTTAGTAAGATTACTTCAATGTAAGGTCACGCTTTTTTATAAAAACTAAGCTAACTTAAAAAACTAATTGAAAAATTTCACAATAAATCAATCAAAACCGTACATTTTTCCATAATATGAGTAATAAAAATAAATAATCAGTAATATAATATAGATTTAATCTACCACAGTAATAAAATCAAATATTAAAATTTCGTTTATTTTATTATTATATTTTGTGTATAATGTATAATTGCCTTTGTGATTATTTTTGAAATGGATAATTGTAGTTGCATTAAGTTAATTTTATATAGTTTATTCTACTGTACAAATATCTCAACTAGAATATTCACGTGCAAGTTTGTATTTACCTTTAAGTAGTTTTGTAATGCGCTTTGATTAGTTAAATAATTTTATTGAAAATTCTTTAAATTATTCAAATTTTAAAATTACATTACCTGTACTTAAAACTATTTAAACGATGGATTTCACTTTAGAAGTTTACTAAGTAGTTTCTAAATAGTAAACTTAAAGATGATTTGCTTAAAAAAAATGTTTTAATTTCCAAAGAACTATATTGTTTATTGACTTCGGGCATATTTATTGCAAGAAAACAATAAGATTTAAATTATTCCGAAGAGTTAATTTAAGCGTTTGCTAGTCTGATACATATACCTCATTTGAAAAACAACCATAAATATTTATTGACTACTATTTCCCTATTAGAGCATAAAAGTACCACTGATTTGAGTGTTAAAAACAGAAACAATTTTTTTACTATAAATTTGAATGGATATACATAAATAGTGTTTCTAATATTTTCTACAACATACCAATTTAAAAACAAGATTCTATTGTTATAAAAAAAAAAAATCATCGCTCTCTGCATTCGTAACTATTTTAATTTACTTTTTTTTGTCAAACATCATCATCGCTTAAATATTTTAATGTTTGGAATGTACACTCTATTATGAGTTATTTTTCTATAAAAAATAAAAATAAATTAATTTAAGTGGCCAAGAAAAATTACTATTTTTCGAGTTCGTTCAACGACCCGAATGAGTGCTGAAAGAAATATTAAAGAATTCGTCCGTCAAAAGTATTTATCGAAGACCCACGACTGTCAACTAAAACCCTTTCACAAGGACACTTGTGCGTTGTTTATCGAATTCAATGGAATAAAGCCTAATTTGTGAAAATCTAAACGACTCGACTTATTTGTCTCTATTATTCATTTTTACTAATTTAATAAACAGTTTTTCTTTACGGATACGGTTACACGAAATGATTAATTTTCACTTTTACGTGATAACTAAATTATGTGTTACCAAAAACAGATGAACTGTGAATAGTTTCTTTTAGACGTATTGATTATATTAAAAATACCACATTCGATTTTTAAATTTAAGCTTCCGGTCAAGTTAAAAATAAATAATCGTTGCATTATTCAAATATAAATTGTTTACCTTCGTATAAGATTATGTCTGTGTTCAGATGTTTAAAATCAAATAAATATTTGTATTATTTCATAGTTAGAACTTCATCATACGCTTAGGAAATAAAGTCGAAATTCATGTCTGATCGATATGTTGGTGATTCAAGAAATCTGTTTAAATGTATACATTTTTTTTTTATACAAATCGTTAAATATCTTATAAATCATTCTAAGTTCAACTAATTGACAAGAATATTCAATTAGGATAAAGTTGTTAGACTAGTTAGTTGATTGTAACACCTGATGTACATAACAGTTTAGAAAAAGCGATCAATACTCTAGTCTTAAACACACACGAATCGATGCACAAGCAGACATGGTAAATGTATTGTTCACGATTAGCTTACTAAAATGTCTTTTACTCTAACAAATCGAAAAGAAGCTCAAACCCTAGGCGCTATTGTGTCAGCTGTTGTAATTTTTTATTTGTTTTTTACAGCTTCAATACATTTAACTTATTGCCACGCCTGCCTATTTCATACGTTAAGTATTATTGCTGGAACATGGCGAGTGCCATAATCAAATAGAACGTACATTTTTACAGAGAAATATTTTAAAACTAACTATGGGGTTAGTTTTATTGCTCCGGAACTGTCTGATGCAATTATATTAGCATTCCCGGACGCGCTTTCCTTTAAAATAATGAAAATATCCTGACGACGTTTCCCTTGGCGCCATTTTTGTATATAAATAAAAATATAAGACAGTTCGTCACATCGGATAATTGGATGCAGGAAAGGAACTTGATCTCTGTTAGAAATAAAAATGTCAAAACCTAATTATCTTTCATGATAATCTATTAAATTGCTGTTTGGCTGGGAAGGATATAAGTATCGAACAGATGTATTCATGGAGTACATTAACTTAAACGAATGAAATACATGATTAGATATTTTATTGTATCAACTATAGTTATATAACATTATGAGTCTTTTAGATAGTTTAAACAGCGTTTTATACCGACAACGGTTTTTGAATTGTTTCGCACAGGCCATCGTGGTGAAGTAAATTAAGCAAATCGAATTGTTCCGCAATGAGTTGTTATCGAATACGTGTTTGTGTTTAATTCGATAAAAACGATTTTGGTCGATAACCGCGGCACATTTTAGATTTCATTGCATTTCTAAAGTGAAAAACACCATTTCGTGGATTAACGCTTTATTTTGTGGGTACATTTTTAATGAGTTATAGACCGTTGGGCTACTTACGAATGATCAGTGTATTTGAGCATAATACGGAAAAAACGAATTGTAATTCATTGCGGTACATGTATAATAAATTTTACTTTTTTGCGCTACTGCAATTTCAATTTTTTCATTACTATGGCGCATCTGCCCTACATTATATTTTTCCCTGCCAGAGTGTTAAAATCAATACAGACGAGATGTAAAGACCTATTTTAAATTATTCGTTATAACATTCGATTATTTGTAATCAAAAATTAGTTTTTTATGGATTTCTTGTGATTCTTTTTTGATACTTAGCGATCAGATTTGCCACACGATCAACTTACCTTGACTATTGATAAAAATGTTCCACTCAGACTATTGACGGGCGTCCGAACCGATTCAATCAAGCAACTGTCCGACTTGGAGTCGGCCCAAGTAGACGCCGGCTTTTGTTCAGACGCATCGCAGCCGTTTTCTAGCTGTCGTCTCTGTTCGACCAAATCCGGTACGGACGACGTCTTCTCCAGAAGCTGTAATTGCTGTTGTTGTGGCTGCTGGTTTGCGGCCACGATGGATCTCACTGCGTTGGGCGACGATGGCATAGATCTGGCCACCGCCAAGAATGGCACCAGGCCATCCGAACGAGAGGCCAACCGGTCACACATCGCGCGCGCAACCGGCGGCGACATCAATGAGTCACACGCCGTGTGTATACAACACACAAGGGGTAGGCCGGTCGCCGTTGTCCCTGCGCTTCCCGTTATTTAGTACACAGTGCGGCCACATGACCTGTTTTTTGCCACGTTTCCGGCACACGGGCTGATCGGTCACAACACACCGCCAAGGCGTTCGTCACGGATTGTCGTCACGTCCGTCGCAATCCGTAACGCGCCAATCATTCATCTGCCGTTTGTAATTTCCAAATTATTTATTTTACTTCTTTACGAATTGCGGTTTTACGCTCCAGTTTGTCGTCGTTCTATCAAGGTTGCGAACGGTTACGGGTCGCGGTCACACTGTGGCGGTCCATTGACTCCTCCTACCCTTCTGCTCCTATTCCGTATGAATACCACCCTTGCCGTTTAAAATTTTACTACAATAGGTCACTAACCTTGCGCCTCGTATTTGTTTATCATAGTGATAGTATGTACATAAAAAACCCAGCACAGGGGGGTCGCGGCACAGTGATGACGTAGGATAATTGGATCAAGTATAATGATACCTGACAGTGATTAAAATCACTATAAAAAAAAAAAACACTTCGATGCAAATCTTTAAAAAGTGTTTAATTTTAAAAAATTGGTGGATTATTCCAAAAGCTACATGATCACTTATTTCCTTATTTATATCCTGATTAAGATAAAGTATTTCAAATGAAAGATGTATATAAATACTACTTCTCATGAAAAAATTGTATTAATCCATACATTTTTCAAAAAGTTATAACATAATAAAGTTAAAAATGTAAAATACAAAATCGAGAATTTTCACACAAAAATAGCATTTGGTAGCCAATTTCACCGTGAATATAAAATAAAGTCCGAAATTTTTTTCCATGATTAAGTATATTACATAAGCATTAATTTAAGATATATATAAAAGTGTAAGTATTTCTGGAACACTTTCAAAAATTAAGTTGAAAAATTAAATTTTTTGTGAAAAAATTGTCATTTTAAATCCCCTCTATGGGCAAGTAAAGGGTCAGATTTATAAAAATATATATAATAAATGATAGGTAAAGACATCAAGTATCTATAAAAAAAAAAAATTATATTGATATGTTCATTTTTGAAAAAGTAATGGTAGTTTTTAATAAAAAAAATTGAAAAAAATTTCGAAAATTAGCGATTTTTAAATTTGTAATTTTTTTGGAGGTTTCCCCCATTTACGAGGAACGAGGGAAATTTTTTTAATTTTTGAGTGTAAATACGTATATGTTATGGATAGTTTATGTCAGTTGTAATGACGACTTTACATGCGTTAAGTAATTATTAAACTCTTAGCGTTTTTGTGTCAGCTGCTAAACGGTGATTAATGAAACATGAATATTCTAATTAAAAAAAGAGTTACCGTTACCATAAGCTATTTCATCTTTTAGTATGTAAAAATAATGAGTCTAATTGCACATTCAATGTAAATCACCATAAAAAACAAATAAATTTAAGGTCTTAAATAATCAGCTTATTTGATAAGAAATTAATAAACTTGTTTGGTATATAAGTAAAATACTAACATTTTATAATTAAGTTTTTTATGTTTCATATTAATAACATGGGAATAGGATTGCACATTTATTTTTATTTAAATTTTAACTCATCTAAGTTTTAATAAAAGTTCAAGTTAAAAATTAAAAATATAAAATTAAATGGATTATTGCATTACATATTTGTTTGTATATCATAAAATGTATTTAAAATTCAACTTAACGAATGATATATTATTTATAATTAGAAGGTTACATCATTCAACAATGTATTTATAACGCCACAAATTATAATAACAATTTACTTGTTCAAATTATTATATTTTAAATAGAATAATGATGCTATGATAATTTGTGTGGGACGACATTAATAAACGTACTGGTATGACTAATTTCAGTGTCCAAATTTAGAATTATTAGGAATGACGTAGAGTGTATAAAATTTTCCAGGTGTATTGAATTCTTTTAGTTTTGTTACATAATATATATACATCAATTGAAGGGTTTAGTGCAATTATTTCGACTTTTTTCGAAATATACATATTTCGTAAGTATATTTTACATAGTATATTTACATATAAGTGTATATTTTTTGATAAAGGATAATTATTTGAACAGTTAGGTGTAGAATAACTGGGCTTAACCGCCTACTAGAAAAGATAGTAGTGTAATTATAGAAATATACAGAGTTAAGTTAAAAACTTATTTAGATAGATGTGCAGGGGCGGCTCGCGGCTTGGACGACGGGACGATCGCACCCCCTACTAAAATTAATTAATAGAAGCAAATTAATTGTATATTCTTAATTCTACATTTTTATAAAAATGCACATTTTTAAATTGTATAATAGTTATAATACATTTGTCGTGTGCGAACATTAAAGTTGTTTCTCTCATTATATGCGGTTACATATGCACACACTAGCAATGTTTGGACGACCGGCAGCATCATCCATACAGTAAAATATTAGTATATTACTGTATTGGGTAATTTTTTTTTTAATTATCTACGTGTACGCTCGTTTTTATTCAGTTGCTATAACAGTATAATGGCTATTATTATCATATTCATTTCTATTTTCTACTGCGACCTTTAAAGTAATAATATGTGTATTGTGTTTATTTTATTATACTTAATTTGACAATTTTTTATACCTATGACTAGCGGTATTATATTTTAAGTTGCACCCCAACGAGCCACCACTGTATATGTGTCTTTAACATATTTAAAAAAATGGAAGTTATCGCCTTTTTTTCACGGGACTTTCCAATTTAATGAAATTATTACAAAATGGTTTTGAATTGTTTAAAAATAATATTTATTCGGCCCATTTTTTCTCTTAGTTTGTTTTATTTTACCCTCTATATCATTTGAAATTTTGTTTGGAGAATTCAAATAAATACCGTTAAGTGAGTTGACTTTAATCACTTTAATCAGTCTTTTTAAAAATCCTCCTCATAACTTTTTTAATATTTTATCATTGTGATAGAAAATGGCGTTATTTCCTGAAGTTATATCTTCTAAACGTACTGAAAAATTTTAAAATTCACAAACGTTTTAAACATTTTTCTTTAGAATTATTATTTTCATATTTATCGTATTTTAGAAACAGACAATAAAGTCAAACGGTATTTGGAGTACCTTTGATTACCATTTATATTTATTCAATTAAATTATGAAAAAATTTTACCATTAAAACTACAAGATTGAGGAAAAGTAAACAGGAATGGTGGCATCCTAAAGATGATTTTTATTATGAATTTTTTTTTTTTGTGGAGAGAATTCAATCGATTTTTGAAGATAAATATTCCAACTGGATTATCTCAATGCATAAGAAATTCCACAATATATTCAAAAAATACAAACCACTTTTTCCTTTAATGAACTTTTGGGAGGCGTGACGACCACAAATGTCCCAATGAAACCGCTTCTAACTAGGAGGTAACCAATTTGTAACCCCACCGCCCACTGAAATATAAGCGATTCTAGAATTATAAATGTATGTATATAATGTAATAATTATTATAACATCTAAACTATTTTTAACTTCGATGGAAAGTTGAGAAGGTATTAATATTATCATGATTTGTTTATTTATTTATTTTTTCGAGTCTCTCAATACTTTTTCTGAGCTCTCACTAGACTGATTTTTCTCAACGACACGTCAAAGGAACATAAATTGTACCTAGTTAAAGATATTATTCTCGAAAATTGAATTTTTTCCGTAATTTTCCATAAATAGAAGATATTACTCGAAAAATTATGATTTTCAAAATGGGTAAAATGCGACATTTTTTCTTAAAACTGTCATAACTTTTTAATAGATGAACAAATCAAAAAATATTTTTTTAAATAAATACTTTAAGTATTTCTCTTTCATTTGATATAATTTTTTTGAAAATATGACCCTTTACCAGGCACGTAGCCAGAAAATGTTTATTGGAGGGGCCAACAATTTTGGGCCTTTGTATCATTTTCCATAATTTGTTTACCATGAAAAGATTGTGGGGGGGGTCCCTCCACTCCTTCTTAGACAGTATCCCATTCTATGAATCTTACAAGTTCAAAATTTGTGTTTATTTTTCGAAAATTGGTGGATTATTCCAAAAGTTACATGATCTGCTATTTCCTTATTAATATCCTGATTAAGATAAAGTATGTCGAATGAAAAAGAGATTATTAAAAAATATTATTTCTCGTAAAAAAATTGTGCTGATCCATACATTTTTCAAAAAGTTATAGCATTATAAAGTTAAAAATGTAAAATACAAAATCGAGAATTTTTACACAAAATTATCATTTGGTAGCCATTTTCACCGTGAAGACAAAATTAACTCCGAAATTTTTTTAAATAAAATAGTACATTACGTTAGCTTTAATTTAAGATATAGATAAAAGTGTCAGACTTTCCGGAACATTTTAAAAATTTAAGTGAAAAAAGTTAATTTTTTGTGAAAAAGTTGTCATTTTAAATCCCCCCCGTGGGCAGGTAAAGGGTCAGATTTATAAAAAAAATATATCAAATGAAAAGTAACGATATCATACATCTTTATAAAAAAGTTATGGCAATTTTTGAGGGTAATGTCTTCGACTAGATACGATTTGTGATCTTTTGACGTATTACTGAAAGAAATGGGTTCAGTGAGAGCTGAGAAAAAGTGGTAACAGACACAAAAAAAAACACACCATAGTAAAAATAATACCTTCTCAGCTTTGCATCGAAGCTAATAAAATAATGATATGAACATAAGCTGATTTAATTTTTCAACTTTTAAGCTATTAAGAAAAAATAATTTATTCCTAAATACTAATAACAATTAAGTTATAAAAAATTTTAAAATAAATATAAATTATAAACAATGTAAAATTTTATTTTATTTTATTTAAAATTAAAAACAATTCCTGCCTTTTTTTAGTCATATTTTAATTACTATTATTTAGAGCACGCAAATAACAAATTAACAAAAACAAATAAATTACCTATTGTAACTACTAAATTATAAAAAAAGAAAAAAATTAAAGATAAGATTTATCAAAAATTTTTTATAGAGTATACTCTATCGAATTTTGTAATCAACTAGATTCTAATCAATGCAGATACTTGGTAGTTTGTTATCATTTGTTAGACCAGAGTTAAAAAAAATTTACCTACAACCACGTTTGGAGTAATTGCTATTCCATTTATTATTACGTCTAGAACGTTATCTTTTTCAAATAACGTTGTCTATGAATATAAAAATGAAAATACAGCCATAATAATAACTGTATTACTCAATAGTAATCACAAATGATTAATAATTTCAATGTATATAAGGCCTAGCACGTTTTTGATAATTCGTAAAAATAATTGAATTTTAAATTTGGGGGGGCCGGCTCTGGGCCACATTAAATTTAAGGGGGGCCAGGCCCACCCAGGCCCACCCTTGTCTACGTGCCTGCCCTTTACCTGTTCACAGGGAAGATTCATAATAAAATAATAAAATAGCAAATTTTGCATGAAAAGTTAACTTTTTTAACTTGACTTTAGAAAATGTTTTGGAAATGATGCGTTCTTTAAACACAAAGTAAATTGAAACTTATTTACGTACTATAAATAAGAATAACAAAAATTGTCCTGACACCTTATCTTCATAGATGCCGTAGTTAAAAAACATGAATTTTTTGTGTTAAAATATTCGATTTCATTTTTATTTTTAACACGCTTTTATTAGTTTCACGTGTATGTTGTTTGTTGTTTGTTGTTTGTTTGTAAGTTTGTAACTCTCCAAACGCCACGCGTTATCGCATATTCCGTTGTCTAGACTAGACTGTTATACGCATTCACCCCTCCCCACGCCTCGCTCACAATACGACGGTACACTATTCCTATAAAAATTTATTTTTAGTTATCGTACCCGTACACGCGTGCTTGTCATCAATATTATATATATGTAAACAAATTTTTATTTTGACTGACCAATAACGCCCGCGTCTAATGCGCCTTACGTATATATATATATATTCCTACCGCCGTTTATACCTCGGGTATAACGTTAGTCCGACCCGCCCGGCCATAAAACACAGCTATACTTAGTGCATGATACTTTTACGTAGTTAAGTCGCATTATTTGTATAAATATATATATTCTAATTACTATTAAAATTAATATATTAACACGATTTATTCTAATTAAGAGATATAAAGTATTCATTCCGATTACGAGGGATGATTTCCGTATCGTCATTTTTCGTCACTACCTCCACGTTCCGGGAGTGAGTAATTTACGCGCCTGCTGCTTTCCTTGGATGTGGTAGCCGTTTCTCAGACTCCCTCCCCAGAATCGAACCCTGATTTCCCGTTACCCGTAACAACCATGATATTGATAGTAACTACTATCATAACATGAAACTAAAAAGTAAAAAATAAATATAGTTTAAAAAACTAAAAAAACACGCTTTTAAAGTACATCGAACTAAAAAGTTAAAAATAATTTTTAAAATAATTATGAACAAAAAATACTAGTATTATTGTGATAAAAGCGTGGGTGCTTTGTGCCATATTTTTCGTATATTGAGCGCCCGACGCTTTTATCACAATAATACTAGTATTTTTTGTTCATAATTATTTTAAAAATTATTTTTAACTTTTTAGTTCGATGTACTTTAAAAGCGTGTTTTTTTAGTTTTTTAAACTATATTTATTTTTTACTTTTTAGTTTCATGTTATGATAGTAGTTACTATCAATATCATGGTTGTTACGGGTAACGGGAAATCAGGGTTCGATTCTGGGGAGGGAGTCTGAGAAACGGCTACCACATCCAAGGAAAGCAGCAGGCGCGTAAATTACTCACTCCCGGAACGTGGAGGTAGTGACGAAAAATGACGATACGGAAATCATCCCTCGTAATCGGAATGAATACTTTATATCTCTTAATTAGAATAAATCGTGTTAATATATTAATTTTAATAGTAATTAGAATATATATATTTATACAAATAATGCGACTTAACTACGTAAAAGTATCATGCACTAAGTATAGCTGTGTTTTATGGCCGGGCGGGTCGGACTAACGTTATACCCGAGGTATAAACGGCGGTAGGAATATATATATATATACGTAAGGCGCATTAGACGCGGGCGTTATTGGTCAGTCAAAATAAAAATTTGTTTACATATATATAATATTGATGACAAGCACGCGTGTACGGGTACGATAACTAAAAATAAATTTTTATAGGAATAGTGTACCGTCGTATTGTGAGCGAGGCGTGGGGAGGGGTGAATGCGTATAACAGTCTAGTCTAGACAACGGAATATGCGATAACGCGTGGCGTTTGGAGAGTTACAAA